TGACATGTCTGAAATCTTCTTAAACAAGTCTTTCTACGGCGCACATTAGAAGCCTCCAGATGACTAAATAGGTACCTAAATAAGGCATAAACGGCGTACCAAAAACTTTGCAAGCCAACAGTCTATGGAACTGAACATTGGATACTTCTTGAAGTTTTTTAATATAAATTGGTCTTTGGTCAAAAAGTTTGCTACCCCTACCCCTGCTTTTGCTCCAATAAAGTTACCCCAGTACAATGAAACCCCCAAAATAATCCAAAGTAAATCATTGGCCGTTTTGTATCGTAAATTGGTAAACATGCTGTAATTGTTTCAAAATGTTGCCATTTTCAGTAAATAATAAGTAAATCTTGTTGTATTTAAATTTTGAACTTAAATAGAAATGAGGAAGTTGATTATTGTGTTTGGAAAATGTATCGGTCAGCAAAAACAATTGAAAATTGGATATGCGAAAGAAATATGATATGCACGAGGTTCTAGAAAAGTTATTACTATCCATCAGGAGAGGGCCTTATTGCAAGAGGGTGGCACAGGGCCGTCGTAAGGATTGGCGCTGTAGAGAAGCGGCCTATACCCTGCAGTGGGTGGATGTGGGCTGAAAATGATGATGATGATGATCCGGAGAGCACAATCTTTATTTTCTTTTCATTTACGTGGCTTTGGACAGTTCCTCATAGTGCGGTCTTATTTGGGAGTTATACTGTAGTGTCATTAATTGTTTGAATTGCACCAATTTGATTATCTACCTGTTTTATGTATTAGTGTTGGAAATACCAAAGCACTTTACCTACTTCTACCACGTCCCACACTATTAACCTACTTTCCGAAACTTTCAGCACTACTACACTTTTTGAAAGTGCCGAATTTTATTCCCTTTGGGTAAAGGTGATAAGGTTTTATGCCTAGAAGAGTGCTTTTGGCGCAAGCTTAACAGAGTAGTCGTGGTACTATGTAACTTTGGTAGTCACATTCTTTGCGCTTGAGGCTGTTAAAATCAAAACGAAACAAATTAAAATCATATTTTTTATTAGGTAAGTAGGTTATATTTGACATCAGAGATAGTAGTAAATTATAATATTTATTTTATTTCTACTGTATAGCTTTTCAGCTCTCGTTCCAGCGTACATTTCATTTGATGGTTCGAAATTTACGCAATTACCTTTACGGTTTGGGCCTTTATCACTTTCGTTCGACAGCTAAAAATATACCATTTACAGTGTCTATAATACGACTTGTTAAAATCTCGTAAAAACGAGTACGAGATTTGTGTTAATCTTGAATCTCGTACAAACACTGTAAATCTCGTAATGTTACGAGATTTCTCGTTAGTCTGGCAACCCTGGTCGTGAGACGTAATTTAGCATCTGTCAAACGGCTTGATCAGCGGCCACATGAAATGTGCGATATCGCGGCACTTGAAACCGTTTCCACATAAAATGTATGAAACAGAAGAAACAAAGCTACACACGTCAGACGCGCGTCCGATCGATAACGGCTGACGATCGCTTGTCTGACAGACGTCATGTTGCGCGTCGCGTCTTCGCGTCTATTCTGTGTAGCTTGCCCCTTTATATGTTCTGTGGTGTGAGAATATTTTTATCTTGTTTTCATTGCCCGTGTTGTGGTTTTGAATACTAAACACGTAGTTTAAGGTCGATAAGTTTTATTACCTGGCATTTATCGAAATAGGTACTGTCAACAGCACATCAACCTATCCCCGTAAAAAATTATATACTTACTAGCTTTTCGAACTGTTCTTACGACTCGCTATTCTTCCCCCATGAAACGACGAATTTTCCCGTTGTAAAATGTAGTCTTTGCCAATTTCCAGTCCTGTAGTTAGCCTAATATTATATTTGGCAAAACCTAAGTAAGGTTACCTAGTATTTATTTAACATATTATTTTCTATATTTGCCCCGAAACAAAACTATTTGGTCCCAGAATTATTAAAGTTTATCCAAACAAACCCAATTCGTTAGCCATACAATTACCTAACCCCGAAAAGGTGTTATTATTTGGGTTATTGTCGTGGAAAAAGTAACTTTATCTAGCTAATACTAAAGTGGATATTTGTACAGCAATAAAAGTCTTATTTGCCTAGGACGTAGGCACTGGCAATAGTCTGTAATTCGGGTAAATATAGGATTACTGAAATTAGGGTCAAATGTATTACAATTACCTACGGGTTCTGAAATAAGATAGGTCGAATAATAGGGAATATTTTTATTAAGGTTAGTTAAAGGCCAATTGGCGTTTTGGCTTACCTTTACTGTCGTATTTCATTGTAAGTACTACCTCGCATTTGTATGAGTAGAGCAGCATTTTAGTAGTAAGAAGAATTGTTTTCACCACGGGAAAACATTGGGAAATCAGGGCCTCATGTCTGTTAATTTTCAAGCCAGCGACACTTCACTGTAATTCTATTGCCACTGTGATTTTCTATACTATCTAATAAGTTTCTAAACTGTTAGCAGCATACGAAACTACCAAAACCATGCAACTGACATGCCACCGACACACGATTTAAACGATTATCATATCGTCCCACATGAACGCCGGCGCAGAGGAAGACCGAAGAAAAGATGGCGGGATGACCTGATCGACTTCGACCCAAACTGGTCGCAAGCAGCCATGGAACGCAAAGTCTGGAACGAGAAAGCGGAGGCCTTTGCCCAGCAGTGGGACAGTCTAGGCTAATATAATAATAATATAATCATATCATCTAGCAGATTACGGCTCCTGGTGTGACCGCAAGGCATTTCTTTGCGTTTTGACTGATAAAAAATACAGATTTTTCTTATTTAAATTCGTATTGATATTCATCATCAGTGTAGCAAAACCAAGGCTTACTTTTTCATTTCGCTCAATTCACATGCCTATTCCAATTGCGTGTACCTAGCAACTGAATGAATGCGTAAACTGGAACGAATATTGGATGCGAAAATGCGTTCCATTTCACGTTATATTCATGTTGATAGAGGTTTTCCTTTATTCCCTATTACAGTCTGGGATTTTGCTGGCTCGAATTTAGTAAAAGTGTGATTTGCCTAACAGGAAATCAAAGCCATAGTAAAAACATTGTAATAAACTGTTGCCATTCAGGCTTATTTCAAATCTTTTAAAAGTGTTTTTCTGAAAAATTCAAACCTGCTGTTCTTTAATATAATAAAATTTTGTTTATAAGTAGTTTGTTTTTATGGGTATAGCAGGTATCCTTCTGGCACTCCACTAGAGGATTTAGTTTTAAAATTTCCATTTTATTACTACCTGGTGTTTTCCATAAATTCCGACGGCGTTTGCATTGGGACGAAACATCTTGGCACAAAAGAGTCGACGACCACACAGGCTAGTAGATGCTGAATATTTAAGTGATAGATGGCGCTGAGCTAAGCTAAAAAAGTTTCTTTTCGTGAAAATGTAGTTTATCTATTGACGTAGCCACTTTCTGGGCACAGCGACTGTAATACGGTCAATGCGGTGATCATTGCCATTGACCCGAAAAGAAGAAGAAGAAGTTTATCTATATGAGTACAACTTATCATCATTTCAACCCTTGTTTGGGATTATGAAAAGGTTCGGTCAGACGTAAAAGTCACCATTACTCCAAGAAACCAGTTCTGTCAAGAAACTGATGTGCGTGGCTCGGGGGCAAGGTAATGCGTGCATGCTAATATACCAGTGGTCGCATTATTTCTTAAATCACCACTGAATGGGCCCCAACTCTTATTTTTCGCTATTGTAATACCAGCGATACAATATTGTAATTACCTGTGATTCTAATGCCACTGTGATTTGCAATACTTTAATTAAACTACCAAAACCATCCAACAGACATGCTATCGACACATAACTGAAACGATTTTCATTCAGCAGACTTATCGGGCCCCGATTGACCAATGTGCGCTGCGCAATCTTAGTTAGACAATTGATACAGATCTGCAGTTCTTGCCAGAAAGTATTCGCCTTTCTAGTGCCGTCTAGGTGGCCATGTGGTCGTTGGAAAGAGCAGACGGTATTTGTTATTCCATTTGGAACAAAGAGGTTGCAGTCTCAGACCTCTCCGGAGTTCAGACTCTAGTTTGCAGTGAAATGAAAATTACGCTCCGTTTTATGCAGATCTGAAAGGACTTGCTTATCAAAGTGACGGTGACGGAAATAGTAGAACATGTGAATTTATTTGAACTGGTTACATACATACATACATCACGCCTACATCCCTTGCGGATTAGGCAGAGCGCACATGTCTGTAAAAAACGGTCATTCCACGTCTAACAAAACAGGCAACAAATCTTACAAAGTGATGTAGGTACTAACAAATATTATCTTTTGTCGCTACAAATGTGGATTCTTTGTTGCATAGTTGCTCTTCTTCTTCTTCTTTTTTGCGAGTCCCGACGAATTAAATTTTATTTTTCCAATACGTTGCCACTCTAAGTTATAGTTATAAATTCTGGTTTCTTTGCGTTTGACTGTATTTTAGCTACATCTACAAGCCAACGACCACCAAGAGCGCAATACCACGAAGTAAATCGGATATGCACCTACTTCCTTGCAAGGAACAGAATAGAAAAGAATAAGCTACGTTTTAAGCTCCTTTGTTGTTGAGTAGGTAAAGTCTGAAAATAATCTAAGTTTAAATTGAATATGGACGGAAGGTATAAAACTACAAATTTACAGATTATTATGTACCGAATAGGATAAGTTGTAGCAAATAGGTACCTAATTATAGTACATCAGGAGTTTGTTAACATACATAGGTAATGCGTACCAACCTACCCTATATAAATATAAAATTGTCATAAAAACTTGTCTGATTGCCTTAATCTCAAACTCAAATCTTTGTTCTGTCTGCATCTGGTTCTGAAATAGGACTACAGGCTGCCACAGACAGACACCACTACAAGTCCTCTATCTCTATTTCCCCATATTTGTGTTTACGAGTGCCTAGGGTTGCCACAATCTAAATAAATTAAATAATGAGAAAATTGAAAAATTCATTAGCGACCGCCGGGACTTGAACCCGGGACTGTGGATTGCCGTTCCATTGCCATTCCATTGCTCTACCAACTGAGCTACGGGCGCCTAGCGGACCCTAGTGAATCTTTCAACCTCTTGATGCTCGTCTCGAAGCAACGATTAAGCGACATCTAGTAGTAGTTATTACAACTAAATACTTTGGTTAGTCCACGTTACAGTAGGAATTCAAACCATATGATGAAGCTTTTTGCTTAAACCAATGTATTGGAATTTTTAATGCACTCACAGCGCTATAATATTCTCATAAATTAAATAATGAGAAAATTGAAAAATTCATTAGCGACCGCCGGGACTTGAACCCGGGACTGTGGATTGCCGTTCCACCGCTCTACCAACTGAGCTACGGGCGCCTAGCGGACCCTAGTGAATCTTTCAACCTCTTGATGCTCGTCTCGAAGCAACGATTAAGCGACATCTAGTAGTAGTTATTACAACTAAATACTAGGCGAGGCTAGGCGCCCGTAGCTCAGTTGGTAGGGCGGTGGAACGGCAATCCACAGTCCCGGGTTCAAGTCCCGGCGGTCGCTAATGAATTTTTTTCCGGGTGAGCCTTCCGCTCCCCAAAATTCAGCTAGGTGTAGATATAGTTGCCTAAGTAGGTAGATATCGTAGGGACTAGTTAGGAAAAAAAAAAAAAAAACTAATGAATTTTTAAATTTTCTCATTATTTAATTTATGAGAATATTATAGCGCTGTGAGTGCATTAAAAATTCCAATACATTGGTTTAAGCAAAAAGCTTCATCATATGGTTTGAATTCCTACTGTAACGTGGACTAACCAAAGTATTTAGTTGTAATAACTACTACTAGATGTCGCTTAATCGTTGCTTCGAGACGAGCATCAAGAGGTTGAAAGATTCACTAGGGTCCGCTAGGCGCCCGTAGCTCAGTTGGTAGAGCAATGGAATGGCAATGGAACGGCAATCCACAGTCCCGGGTTCAAGTCCCGGCGGTCGCTAATGAATTTTTCAATTTTCTCATTATTTAATTTATGAGAATATTATAGCGCTGTGAGTGCATTAAAAATTCCAATACAATCTAAATAGGTATCTAAATGAAAGTAAGCTTTTTCTTCAAACTAAGCTTAGTTTTCAGGTTGTCATTAATTAAATATGATTTCATGTTTTTTTAATAAAGTTGCATGTTGTAGTACTAGTTCATTGATGTCAAATAAGTTCACTGCATCTAATGAACGTTTCTATTATATTCATTCATTTCTTACTTTTATGTCACTGAAAAAGTTTCTCCTTTCGCCTTACCAATAATAGTTAAATGACAGATCGTAGTGGTCGGTACTCGCGTACGGAAAGCTTTGATAAGATAACTCACGCGTAAAATCTGCGATGTCATTAATCATACATAAATAATGAAACGATGCGAATTTCCGCGAAATTATACACAGATGCAATCCAGCTTTAATGGAACCAATTATTGTTAAGAAAATACACATCTAGCAACCCTACCCATATCTGTCTCGTATGTTGGCTAGAGTGCCAAATCTGGAGTTTAGGTGTACATGAGTTACACTCTCCTGGCAGCACTATGAATATATAACACAATGCTAGTTCTGTGTATCTGTGCTTGTGACTTATGAGCTTGTTTGTTTGTTGCAGGTCTGAGCCAGAAGGAATGCCGATGACGGGTAAGTGTATTTAGTCCTGACTATCGATTCGAACTGCCTAACTAAATAGTCGTGGCCGTAAGGCGCCCCCTTCCACACTTGAGATTACCAGAAAAGAAGTGCCACTGCAACGAGTGATTTGTGGCAGCTATCACTTTTACTTTGTATGTAAGGAAATGATATGACGTAATCACGTAACGCAATAGATGATATTTTACTCAAATAGCTGAGTAAAATCTTACATTGTATTTTATCGCAAATCCTAACGTGACGTATGATTATGAAGCCGTCTTTCTTGTTGTAATGTAATATCTACATACCATACCTAATCTACCTAACGTACGGTTTTAAATATTTAATACCTGACTCTTAATGTAGAGTCGTCAGTATAGTTTAATTCAGTCACATCCTGTCTGTGTATTCTAATAAATAAGTGCACTTCACCTCCATTTCGCTTTGCCCATTTTGTATTCCCGTCAAAAGAATTCTGTATGCTAACATTGATTTCAGACCTGCAGTGCTTTGACTCTGTCTTGAGCGTACTTTCCTTCTTACACACATATATCACGCCTATATCGCTTGTGGGGTAAGCAGACCGTAAACGGCTATAAAATTTGATCAAATATGAAGGAAGGAATGACTCTAACTTTTGTCAGACTTGGTGTAAATGACCTTTATTCCAGCAGTTTTCACTCTGCCTACCCCGCATAAGACATAGGCATGACATATATGTATGTATGTGTTTGCGTAAGTTTGTCTAAGATTTCATCCAGGTATAATTTATTCATATTTACTCGTAGTCCTATAAAAATCTCTTTATAATACCCCCGGTAACGTTTCCGCCTCAATTCTCCGCGGCAGGAATTAATTACATTTCCCTCAGAAGGCTGGCCTTAGAAGGGTTCTTCTGTCAAAACTTCCTTTATTGTCCTCAAGATGTTGCCGCCCTCAAAAAAGGGATTTTTGTTTCAAAGTGTTCACCCACTCCTCATTTTTGAGGTTATTCTTTTTACAAGTTCATTATGGCGGGCAAAGTTCAAATATAAAGAGTTTTGGTATGTATTTACGAGGTTTCCGCATTGTTTGAACTTTGTTTTTGAAGAATGAAAAATATTGTGCATAAAAAATTGTTGAGGTTTTCCGGTGATTTCCTGGTTACGGTTTTTTGGCGAAAAGAGTTTACGAAATCCAAGACGAAATCCCATAAAAACAGCATGGCACACGTCACCACAATAATTACAGCTTTCACAGGCTGTCATATAGGGTGATTGGAAATTCGATGCATTCCCTGAAGGTGGTTAGAGGGGGGGCCATTTCCAACATATTCTTCCATGGAACCAGGGGTCGGAAATGATTGGTTACAAAATTATTAGGACTTTTGATTTTTTAAAGAAAATTTCCCGATTTCAACTTTAAAAGTCATGCGAAAGCTAGCCAAACCGTTTTATGCATAGTTTTTTGACATGATCTCATAGTGAATGAATAGGACAATCATTTTAGTTACAAGTTTAGTTAGAAATACTCTTCTTTTTTAAAATACAGCGCCAAAACAAGAAAATATTTTGGTGGAAAGGGATTTTTTTCAACATTCATGGTAATCTACTGTAAAAAATCACTATGGAATAATCCGTAAAAACTTCATAACAGAGTTCTCTGTTTCATTAGCTAACCGAAAGGTACAATAATCTACAATCAAACATGTTTTCATAAAAATAATTAGCATTAATGCAAAAAGCGGCGTGCGAAACAAGGCAATTGACTATGGTCGGTCGACTACGCCAAAGTCAGCAAATGCTGTTTAGACAACTTTTTCAAGTATTTTCGTGGTCTAATGGGTGGAGCATTCCCCTCAGGAGTCTGTGGTTCCAGGTTCGATTCCGTGAGTTGACCTACAAGGTTGATATTCAACACTTTGTGAATTTTCCCAGTTTGGTTTAAAAAATCACGTTGAACCACCTGATTGTCCGCAAGAAAATATCGTGCTCCGGAGGGCATATTAAACCATCGGCCTCGATTGATGTCTAATAAACGCAGACGGTGGTCGTAACACTACCATAGCAGAGGTCTAATACTTGTAGTAGGTGGTTTAAAAACTCCGACAAAGATTTATCATTTCAGTTTTTTAGGCTGTTTAAAGCTCAGGAGCTCCATTTCTGAATTGTCGTAATCCTAATCGTGCGAAAATCTGCTACTAATTGTGCTCGTATCACATGTTCTACTAAACTTATTAATTTATGCACACCTAATAAATTCACACAAACCCTTAACATTTAAAGTGTCGAGTAGTAGAACGTGTAATACGAATGGTTAGACCACTCGTTTTAGATTTCCGTGCACGGATTTGGATTACGGCAATTCAGAAATGGAGCTCCTGAGCTTTAAACAGCCTAAAAAACTGAAATGATAAATCTTTGTCGGAGTTTTAAACCACCTACTACAAGTATTAGACCTCTGCTATGGTAGTGTTACAACCACCGTCTGCGTTTATTAGACATCAATCGAGGCCGATGGTTTAATATGCCCTCCGGAGCACGATATTTTCTTACGGACAATCAGGTGGTTCAACGTGATTTTTAAACCAAACTGGGAAAAATTCACAAAGTGTTGAATATCAACCTTGTAGGTCAACTCACGGGAATCGAACCTGGAACCACAGACTCTGAAATGCTCCATCCATTGACCACGAAAATACTTGAAAAAGTTGTCTAAACAGCATTTGCTGACTTTGGCGTAGTCGACCGACCATAGTCAATTGCCTTGTTTCACGCCGCTTTTTGCATTAATGCTAATTATTTTATGAAAACATGTTTGATTGTAGATTATTGTACCTTTTGGTTAGCTAATGCAACAGAGAACTCTGTTATGAAGTTTTACGGATTATTCCATAGTGATTTTTACAGTAGATTACTATGAATGTTGAAAAATCCTTTCCACAAAATATTTTCTTGTTTTGCGCTGTATTTTAAAAAGAAGAGTATTTCTAACTAAACTTGTAACTAAAATGATTGTCCTATTCATTCACTATGAGATCATGTCAAACTATGCATAAAACGGTTTGGCTAGCTTTCGCATGACTTTAAAGTTGAAATCGGGAAATTTTCTTAAAAAATCAAAAGTCCTAATAATTTTGTAACCAATCATTTCCGACCCCTGGTTCCATGGAAGAATATGTTGGAAATGGCCCCCCCTCTAACCACCTTCAGGGAATGCATCGAATTTCCAATCACCCTATATAGTGGCTATCGCAAAACGCAATATCGTCCGGTGCGGTAAATTTAGTAGTTTAGATAGTTGAATTTTATCATACATAAGTGAGATAGGTAAGATAATATGTTTTAAAGTCATTTTTGCGAGGTGTACTTGTCGAATTGTGATATTTACTTATTTAATTATGTGTCCATTGACTTGTAGCAAATAGAACATT